CACGGCGTGTCGGCTGCTGTTGGGGTGCCCCAGGGACAGGGCGAGAGATCCCACCGTGCTGGTCTCCAGTCTGGTTCAGGCTCGGAAAATGGGGCCTACAGGAAACCACCCGTGAAGCCTCAGGGCTGGTGATGGTTCTCCCGGTAGTAATATATTGTTGAGTTGCCTAGAGAGAATCCTGCAAGCGTTTTAATGTAGCCTGCTATTAACTTTTATAGACAGCCATTATCAATTGAGTTCTTCAGCTTGAACAAGGAATTACATGAAATTATTATATGGCACAATATTATTCTGAGTCACCTGAAACCTGAGCTGTGAATCTGTGGGGTATTTTGATATCTGTATCTTGCAAGCTGCAGGGACTCTCCTTGCTAAAAAACCTGTTGGTTCTGCCTTTGATACTATCATTATCACAAGGAGAAAATAGCTGTGGGCTGTTTCTCTCGGTCCTTCCCCGCGAGGGCCCAGCGAGAGGACGGCAGCTCCCACCGATGTCTCGCTTCAAACCTCGCGCTGCTGTTGAGTGGGCTGGGTGTTTTGTTCAGTTATAAGGTATTGACTCCTCCCAGACCCTCGCGGAAACTTTTCAGTGCTTCAGGATGAGGAAACTAAGCTAAAGGCTTTGGGAGTCAAACCACAAGCAAGGTCTGACGGATGAACTCAAGGGGAGGGTTTAGCCCTTTGCCATGTGCCCAGGCGGGAGCTGTTGGGTCCGGTGACTGACCCACGGGGACGCTGCCCTGTACCAGAGCCGCCTACTGCCATACAGCGGCAACCATCTCCTATAACTGCCGTACAGTGGCAACCATCTCTCTCCTATAACCCTGGACACAAACAATGTTCTTTCTTAAATGGCTCTTAGAGATAGAGGCTTTTCCAGAACCTCCTGGAAAACGTGCTTTCCAGCCCAAATTTTCTCCTGGGCAGTTCATACACACTTGTGTCTGTGCCAGCGCTTTTTTCTGCCATGCTCTTTGCTGTCTGTAAGCATTTTAAGGCACTTTTACAGCCTTTATCTTGCTAGGCCGAAGGAGCCAAGACCTAGACCTGTTTGTAACACGCTCCCAATTCCCTTCTGCTCCTAGAGGCTCTTTCATCTGTCCCATTGCGAACTAATCTTTCCTGAATCTCGGTGACCTGCATACAATGTGCCAGGTGAAGTCTCATGACAGTCCTGTAAGGTATTCCCAGCATTGCCTCCCTGATATTTTGGCTTTTTTCCTCTGGCAGCCTGAAGTCATTCTGTGATTGCACCCACAAATTTTGCCTTTTTTTAAAAATGTGGAATTAGCATGAACAAGGATTTCTGCAGGTGCACACAGTTGCTATGTGAATAAGCCCCCAACTTCCGTATTAAAGGTTAATTGTGAAGCTGAGGGGAGAGTTCAATGTTCTCCATAAAATCCCCCTTGTCCTTGTTTCAAACAATCTTTAATTGTTTTGCAGTGTGATGTTGGGATGTGGGAAGCTGTTTTCAGACAGCCCCTGTCCAGTTCCTTTCAAGATGTGAAACGGGACTGGGGCTTTTCCTGAGAAACGGCCAAACAGAACCTGGGCACCATTTTTGTTCCCCATGCTTTCAAAAATGCACAGGTTTGTCTGCCAAGGAAAATCAAAACGGATTCTTCCTTCCAGCAGGCGCTGCAGGGAGCTGGTCTTGGCACCAAAAGATAGCATTTGACCTGTGCTGGCATTTTCAGCATGAACTGCCTGCATGTGTCTCCGGACACGGAGCCACGGTAATACTGTGAAATGCAACGGTGGTGTTGGTCAGATAAAAGAACTTTCTTTGGCTTTGCTCTTTGAGATGGTGCAGGGTTTTTGCTGGTAGCCATTGGGAGCTCTGCAGGGCAGTAGGAGTGAGTCAGCCCTATCCGCTACGGGGGAAGTTCAGGGCTCAGCACCCACCAAACCCTTGAACGGTGCAGGCAGGAGGAGGTGCAATGTGTTTGTGCATGAGAGCTGGTACTCCCTTTCAGCCTGTTGTGGCCACAAGACGATAAACAGCTCCACAGCCGACTGGATTTGAACCCAGGCTTTTGTGGCCAGGGTCGAGCAAGAAGTCTGCTCGATGTAACACCACGGACCTAACGGCGTCCTGCGTGCCAGCAGGCAGATGAGAACTGCCACCAGGATAAGCGGTATGGCACTCGACCTATAGTTTTCCATGGTGAGAGCACTGACGGCTCAAAGCCTCCCAGGTACCTACCGCATCCCATAACATCTTGCTCCTTTACTGGGAAGAGATGGCTCTCTTCCAGGGATTAGGTCATTTGCGCCCATTGCAATGCTTGATCTGCCAATGGGATCGGAGGGGCACCAGGCGTTCGGAGCACCGGGCTAATTAGCTGTTCTTGTTCGGGTCGCTACTTTTCAGCTCCTGCCAAGCAGGAATTCCTCCAGGGTCTCCCAGTGGACTCGCTGCTTCTCTTTCCCATCCTTCCCAGTAACTCTCTCGATGCAGGTGAAATTAATCAGGGATAAGGATCAAATATTTATCCATTTAAATCTCAATCTAAAAGAGATGCCGCTTCACAGGCACCCAGCCGGTGCAGTGGGGACCTTGATGTAAGTCTCGAAACCGATTACAAGGTCACCAGGGGTGAACGTGCCAGGCCTCCGAAAGCGCAGCTCGCCTGCCGCGCTTCTCCGAGCATCGCCAGCTTCAGCGTTCAAAGCCGATGAACTCCGCCTGTAAAACCCGCGGGTGCGGTTCAGAAGTCGCGAAGGAAACGGCGCCCGCTCTCCCGGCGCCGGCCCCGCAGCCCCGATCCTCCCGTTAACCCCTTGCCTGCGGGAACG